TTATAATAGGCTTATAAATTTTTAGCTTCTCATTCTTTATTTACGCGACGTGGCGTCATTCAACAGGCACACTTGCACCACGTCATAAAGTTTAAAGAATTTATAACCAGCATGCCGCAAGAATGAAACGTTCAGCCATGCGATTGTTGTCTTTATCAAAACAATATTAAGACCGAGTTACACAATTCGAATGAAATTATTTGCAACTCGTATCTTCTAAGAATATTACGAGACACTTAGGCTGCGTTCAAAAACACCGCCCGAGTACCCCAGAGTATCATTTTATCCTTGTTTAACATACGGTGAGCAACAAGGATAGAATAATACGCTGGAGTACTCGGGTGGTGTTTCTGAACGCAGTCTTACACGAACATTATCTTATTGATCAAACATTCGCGCTGTATACTTCGCGCTTATTAGTTTATTAAATAAATTATTCAAATAATTTAACAAGGCAAACGTGCGATCTCAATATTTACTCTGTCAGCCCAACAAAGCGTGTCTCTGTTGACAGGCACAGTCGGACCTTTAAACGAAGGGTGAAAATTATACTTCTTTAAATACCTTCCGCAAAAGCTCTCACCTGCTTTCCTCGAGGAACCGCCAAAACATCGAGGTTTTTTTAGTAAGGGACACATTGGTATGTAACCGCACTTGCTCGTCGCTCGTGGATTCCCCGACGAATTTCCCGATTACACGAAAATAATGTGATATTTTACAATTTTATTATTTATTATATTTTTCTTGTAATTTCCTTTACAATGCACACAATGATATGAAAGAAATAATTACAATATAAAATTAAAAATATAACATCTATACAACACGATATTTCGCTCGACGTTACATATGAAATATTCGGTATGCACACAATAACATGAAATTCTTCATTGCATGTTTGGGATAAAAATATCCCGAATGTATTTATTGACGATCTCTTAAAAGTAAATCAAATCTACAAAAATTGTAAGTAAATTTAAAGTAAAAACTTAAACGCGCAACAACTTCTATTCTATTATATGCATCCGATTACAAATATAATAACATTTAATAGTAATTCATTGCAGTTATAATTTTACCTATCTTTTTAATTAAGCAGTAATGTCCCCCTGTCCCTGCCTACCCGAATCCCTACCTACCCGTATTCCGCTGTATAGTCTTATTAATTTTCCTATCATTTTCCTACCTACCCGCGTTACACCTTTTTGTTAATAAACCTACGGGTCTTTCGTTAAAACCGCGACGCGATTTATAAGAGGTTTGGAGTTATACGCGCGCGATTTAATAGGGGTCTTTTTAATCTTGCACATATGCTAGAATAAGTAAAGAAGGAAAGAATATAACCCACCCGAATTTTTGCACATAAGAAGAAATCAACATATATCATACAACATGTTATTTACATAATTCATCAAAGTGGCCAATATTGACCACACGGCGTATCCCTTCGTTGGGCCAGATTGGACATACCTTTCGTTGCTCCCGGCCATACAGTCTGGTCATTTTGACCAGAGATCAGGAAGGAAGAAAATTCCTTCCATAGTCGGTTTATCGTCACCGACAAATATTTCGTACGGTTCGAACTATATGCGAGCGTCGATTGTATCGAAATGCACGACCACGAGAAGTTAATTAAAGAAGAAAATTAATTCAAAATATTTACTGTATAAAACTGATCAAATATATTTCGACATCCGTTATTTGCTCGAGAATAGGTGTTGACTCGATCTTCGAATTCAAAATTCAAGTATAGATACGGAAACAAAATTTACTTCGCGTTATATATTTTAATATATTTGAATTATATTCCGCGGTAAACTAAAATTTATAATGTTAATAAAGTCAAACAATTAATAATTTCTTGAGCTTTTTCCTGAAAAACGATCGCGAAAACCGACCGCGAAAACAACCGTAAAAATACGAAGATGCGTGCGACTGTGCATGTATTCATGCGAGGCGCATCTTGAAAGTGTATCGCGGGGTGCACAAACAATACAAAATAAATGACGTGAGACCCAGAGAAAAGAGACTTTCCGTACGATAGGCCGACAATTGAATATTCCAATTAATCAGTAATTTCAAATGATGTATGAAAATAATATTAAGTTTCAGCGTTCTCTACAAAATATACTGTCTCACGTCATTATATAAATTTTTATATAAATTTGTTAATAAAAAATTGATAGAGTACAAGAGATTAACTCGACGAATATATTAATAATATTCGTCATATTTTGCATGAAAATTACGGGACACCCAACTCTTCGCAGTTAAAATCGCGATCACTCCCTTTCGTTAAAGTAAATGTATAAAAACAAATACGAAATTATGTTGTACTCTATCAATTTTGAGGCAACGGATCTACGAGACATACTAATTTATGTTCTACAATCAACGATCTACGAAATGTACTCTGGGAAAAAAAAGTCAGTTGCAACCCATTTTGGGGCCCACAATTAGTAATCGAATTATTTAGATTGTTCGTAACTCTAATCTTTTACAAATTTTATCCCGCATAACTAAAAATCACAATTAGCTGTTCTATCTATATCCAAAATATTAAAGTAATAATCAATTCTCTCAATTAGTTCTGTCGATATTCAGTAACGCAAAGATAATTTTCACTTAAGTGGCAATAACCGAAATGTTAAGTTGCTTAACTACACCAAAAAACGGTCAAAATTTTTCCCAGAGGATCTACGAAATACACTAATTTGTCATCTACAATCTACGATCTACGAAATGTAGATTCGTTGCCTCGTTAAAAAATTATTTGACTCACCAATCGACGCGCAGCAGCGGAGTTTAACTACGATGAATCTGTAACAGAAAAATATAAGATTTCTATTAAAATAGCGTTCAAGAAAACTGAAAATAGTGCAAGATATAGTTCATATGCGTATAAAACTTTTTATTCGGTAAGATATGTTTATATGATTATTGCGCGAAAGTTGTTCGGTAAAAGCCGAGATTTTCACGAGAATAAACTTTTGTAAAATCCCAAATTACTTCTCGTCCTTTAAGTATTATTTCGAATTTATGAAATTATGAACTGAAACGATGTAGAAAATTGCATGACGGCCGATGGCTGTCGTGCAATTTTCTGCATTGGTTGATCAATTACTGGCGCTAAATAATTCTTTACGCAATGAAACGACTCGATAATACACCGGAGAAGAGATTAATTTGGCACGAAATGAAAAATTAACACTCACCATAAAGTTGCTCCGCCGGCGCCTGATGCCTTCCCCAGGCCACCTCATCCTCTCAGATTATCCTCCAGGACACTCGCGAGAACACAAAAATCGTTCGAGCGATTTTACACTCCCGTTTACAAAGTCGATGTGAACGTATTCATTTTGTTCCGTCAAGTTCGCCTCCACTTCGAGTCGGCGAGTTTTTTAGTCGAAAAACTGCCAAATCTCTAAAGTGTGGCCATCGACAGGAACGGACATTTCACAAATACCTGTTCAAATGGGCTTTGAAGAGTCTTTAATTCGATCAAGTAAAACGGCACTCCCGAACGCGAGGAAAATGTAAACTTTATGTTATACGCGCACTTTTATACGTTTAATTGTTGGAGAGATTATGTCTTGGCAAGCGATCGATATGTTATAAGTTTTCGTTATTAATCACCGATGTGATTACGGATCGCGACAATTCCTTAAACGCGATGGATAGATGTTAAAACTCTCGTACGAGACAATCGCGTTGCGTAGATGATCGCGATTCTCGTAGAAAGTAATCGCGTTACGAGGGGCGACGCGACGACAAGCGGAACATCCGCCTCGCTCGACTCGCTCGCGCCGACTGATTCGGCACAATAGACTGTTTTCGAAAAAAAGTGTTCACGGTGCTACGTTATTGTAACCGGCACTCGAGACCGAGTTGTTTACTACGGCGCGTACGTCATTTCTTGGAATTCGTGCTCGGTCGACGGCGCTCGGCGAAAAAAAGTCACGCCGTAGATTGTTTACGCGGCGAATTCGAACCGAGTTAGTGGCCCGCGCCGCTTCGCATATCATGTTTTTAACGCGTTCGCGACAAGTACGGGAAGAAACTTCGATCGTTTTCTGCGAATAATTAGCGAACGATATCGTCGCGCGATCGCCGAATCCTCGCGATAGATACCGAGAGTGAAATTACTTTTTCATTGCGACGATTGCTTCTTCAAAACGATGCTGTGTCTCGATTGTGTCTCGACAAATTGTTAACTCAGTTGCGTTTATTGTGCGGTGTCAATGTTGAAATGTATAATTTTCAAGTTTTTCGTTTATTAACGGAAATATAATCGTGAAATTTTTCTCTTATTAACGGAATCATATAAATGCTGGTCAGAATGCAGAACTTTGAGTCGAATTACATCGCGATACGTTTAATTGAAGAATTAAATATCAATTAATCTTATTCGTACTTAATTATATTGTAATAGTTACTCGTCGATAGTTTAAATTGATACAGCGGTGATTTCTGTTGATTAAAATTCGTACCTTCGGACATTTTTCGGAGAGTATTAATTTTTTTAAAATTATTTATCGGTTCTACTGTATAGAACTCTGTAGAAAATGCTGAAATATGTTCGGAACTATGCGACAACTATTTGTAGAAAGTCAGAACTCTGTTATTTCGGACAGCAAATTTTGTCTCCATGAGGATATATTTGTAAAGGGATAAAAATTTTTTAAATTATAAAAACTGTTTTTTCGCCAGAACTCTCAAGAATATACTGTTCCAATGGTGCTCTAGTTATTGCAAATTTTTGCGTATGTAAATTTGGTGGATGTTTACATTACATGTCCACATTTAAATTGACCACCCTGTATAATTATTATTGTGCAATATTTCCATTTATTCCAATGTTGCCTTTACACTGAACAATATCGGCCAATGCATTTCTAACCAACATTGGACCAACACCTTAGCGGTGGACGTTTGTTTCAATTTTATGATTTGACTTAAGTCGGATATGTCTTGACTTGTTGATACGCTTATCCTTGAAAATGACCACAATTTGGATGGTCGGAATGTTGAATGTAATCTCGTAAATAAATAATATATACCATCTGCCAGTCGGGTCGTCTGGTAATTCTTTTTCAAATTGATAATCGGCGCGATATACAAATATACGTTCGCTCCGGAATTTGTTTCCACAATTTCGATCGGGATGACGCAAATAATGCGAGTAAAAAAAATAATTACAAACGGTTTTTAAATCCCGCTCGCGTGCCATCCCTGGTGGGGATCGAACCCACGACCTTTGGATTAGAAGTCCAACGCGCTATCCTCTGCGCCACAGGGACTCGGTAAGCTCATCGCCTTGATTGCTACAATAGGAATCGCACGTCTTTCGCCTCTTCTTTCATAGATGTCGCTAGTGCGCGTGGCAATTAAAATGCCCAGTGACGCGCGCGTTGGAAATTTTGTGCTGTACGCAAATTAGTCATTCACGGAAATGCCTGCGTATAAAAGTATCTCAGGAGACTAAAAAAAAAAAAAGATCTTGTCACAACGACTGCATGTATTTTTCATCATCGGCTACCATTGGCTACCTGGAATAGCACAGGTGATCATCATGAGCTCAAAAAGAGTTTTTTTTCCCATTAAAACTTTTTTTTTATAAATTAGAGCAATGCGTTCAAAATGAACTCGAAAGAATTCTTTTCCCCGATAGTTGGAGAATTCCGTAGGATCCGTAGTATATATATATATATATATCTTTTGACTTGTTACGAAAGTGAATTAAAAAAGTTGTCTCGAACGCGAGGAATCTCCCCCGTGAGCTCGGGATCGGTGCGCGACGTAGAAGCGAATTCTTTCCAGACTCTTGAGAACGACGTCAATTCGACGTCGTTTCGACGTCGATCGACGAATCATTTCTCACTGGGCCTTTGGAACAGACAAGAAACGAAGAGAGACTGAATTTTGCAGTTCGGGGAATGAGAAAAAGAATTCCCTTAGAATTCTCTGCGTTATTCACTGTTACTTAAATGCAAAGCGGACGAAAGCGAGCGCGGAAACGCCGTCGGGTAGATCCGCGCGTTACGAGCGCAGTCGTGCATCGATCAGCTGATCGACGCGCGGGGCCAAAATTCGGGGCTCGCGGGGCGACGGGCGATCCCGCGCCGTCCGTGCGACATCGACGGGAATGGAGGGGGGGGGGGGGCGGCGGGCGCGAGAGGTGGGGGGGCACGACGGGAAATATGGCCGTCGCGGAACATATGACAAAGAACGGCGGGCTCCTGTCGCGACCGACGACGGCGACATCCTCGCGACGACGTCGACGTGGAGGACGCGTCCCGCGGCACCGCTGATCGCCGTCGTTTAACCGCCCAGCCGCCGGCGACCGCGTCGTCGCGCCGCGCCGCGCCGCGCCGCGTCGCGTCGCCCCGCGTCACATCACGTCGCGTCGCGTCGCGGCGTCGTCGTTCCTCCCGTCGTGCAGCGTGCGGCGCGACGGGACGAGGAGAGGTTCCGCGCGGGTGTCGAGCGGCCGAGAGCCGAGGTCGCGGACGAGGGCCGACGTCGCCGCCCCGTCGCCGCGTACGCGGTGTGCCGGCTCCGTGTGCAGCAGCAGCAGCAGTCGTCGTCGCCGTCGCCGTCGTCACTGCCGCCGTCGACGCCGTCGTGTCCGTGGTCGCGGCACAGTGGTGATATAGGGCGGCGCAGCGGGGGAGCCATGACTACGCGTGGAGAATGGGCTCGATCGCGTCGGTGCTGCAGTGGCATTGCTCGGAGTGCGCCCTGATAAATCCGACGGAGAGCGCGAGATGCGCAGGTGCGGACTGACGCGGTTCAGGAGCGACGAGGGGGCCAGCCTCGAGCGCAGGCAGGACCGTGCCACGAGCGTAGCCGCGGCGGAGCGTAGCGGTAGCGCGCGCCAGGGGGCCGGGGAAGCGGCGGTCGCGGCGCACGCGACCAGGAGGCGCGAGGACGGAGAGTGTCCCGCGAAG